TCGTGTAAGGAAATAAAGTACGGTGTTCCTCAGGGTTCGGTTCTGGGACCTCTTTTGTTTTTAATGTTTACAAACGATTTGCCTAAAGCTGTTCATGAAGCGAAAGTTGTTTTATTTGCAGATGACACCAATATACTAATTATTGACAAAACTCTTAAATCTTTAAATGATAAAACTATAGTTTCTATGCATCAATTAGAAAATTGGTTCGCGGTAAATCATCTTATTATTAATATTGAAAAGACAAAAGCACTCCTTTTTCAGGGACGTGGTCCCTGTCAAATTGATAAACCGGAATTTTATTTGAATAATGAGAAAATAACATACACAGCTAATTTAAAATTTTTAGGTATATATATTACAGAGAATTTAAGTTGGTCCTCTCACATTCACCATTTAGTTCAAAAATTAAACAAAACCATCTATCTTATCAAATCCTTACGAGATTTGGTCAGTCTTCCAATTTTGAGAAGTGTGTATTTTGCGAAATTTGAATCTTTATTGAGATATGGTATTATTTTTTGGGGCTGTGGTCAAAAGGACATTCAAACTGTATTTAAAATCCAAAAAAAAAATGTTTAAGACTGATCAAAAGAGTCAATAACAGGATATCGTGTAGAGAATTTTTTGGTGAATTTAAAATTTTGACCTTAACTTCATTGTATATATTTGAGACGTTGTGTATTTTAAGGAAAAATAGGATATATAACATCTCGTATTCAGATGTGCACGGTTATAACACAGTACATAAGCAGAATTTGTATGTCCAACCATGTAACACCTCACGTTGTAAAAGGAGTGTGATTAACATGGGAATAAGATTGTATAATAACTTGCCCTCTCAAATAAGAAGTATTCAAGAGTTCAAGGTTTTTAAGCGTCAATTAAAGGATTACTTGTTGTGCAAAGCTTTTTATTCCCTTCAAGAATATTTTTACAAGAATTAGCTTAATAATAGAACAAAGATACTTAGGTAATTTATTTTAGCTATTGCATGTAATTTATAGTTTAGCTTTTGTTGCCTTATTATACTCATCCACTGTTTTATCATATTTAAAGGACTTATTATATTATTTTTCTATGGTTTTTTATATTATTAGTCATTTGATGTGATGTTTAATCTCATATATTTTTTTAAAAACTGACTTGTCCAATTGTACATAATGTAACAGTTATGGATGTTAAATAAATAAATCAATCAATCAATATAAAACAGAAGTTATATTGTAAAACAAGAATAAAATTTCAATTGATGTTTTATAACATCGAATCAGTCATTGGTTTATGTAATTTCGTACATTCCCATGGACAAATTGGAATATTCTATATTTTTTCTTTTTGTATATAAGATTGTATAGGAGGCTCTTCATGTAGATGTTAATATTAATTGTTTAGTCAGTGCCTCATCTTACAAAGTATTGTCCATGCTGTAGGGAATGTAAACAATTTGTCCATGGGAACGTACAAAATTACATAAACCAACGACTGATTCGATGTTATAAAACATCAATTAAAATTTTATTCTTGTTTTACAGTATAACTTCTGTTTTATATAATCTGATTAATTGTATTTTTTACATCAAGTGTTTTACATGATTAATAGTACTGTTTCCAGTTTAACAGTACTGCAGTTCAGTGGTGTGTATATGTTTAACCATGTATTTGCCTGATGATGGCTATTGATAGCCAAAACATGTAGCAGACCCGTAGCTGGGCATTGGCCTTGATATTTGTTGTGTTGTGATGGTTTATAAAGAGGTTGTATATTGTAACACAATATGAAATGTAAAAAAAAAAGTATTTGTAAATGTTTACAAGAAGCACTTTGATATGGTCATGATTAGGGGTTTGCATACGAGTATGTGACTTATAAGATGGGTTTTGGATTGAATGATTGAATTTATTGACACATTATACACACAACTTTGAACTACAGGTAATACAGAGCTGTCAGTGAAGTTCACTATTACGCTTGCACTAGGATTCTCAGCCTTCACTAGTCATATCCAGGCAATGAAGTCACAACGGTCTTCATTTCCAGCCCCGATTTCTTTCATATGCTTCTCCTCAGTCACCTTCAACTGCCTTCTCCAGAGCTCTTCACAACTGACACAAATGAACTCTTCTTCAACTGAACTCCCTCAGTTTCTGCCTCGAGGCGAACTCCACAGAACACACGTCTTCTATTGTCTCATATTATTTTAGTCAAGTTTAATGATTCATTGCCTAGCAGTAGATGTCCTACTGTTGTGTGCAATAGCTTTCACGGGAATGTATTTACTGAGTCGTTGCCTAGCAATGGGTCTATACGTCACAATATCAGAAGTTAAAACATCAGCTGAAATTTGATTGCATTTGTGCCCTATGTATGGCAGTTTTCCAGTTCCAATTACATTTCCACTGATTTCCTGTTAAAAATATTTTCCCTTCCTCATTAGACCTCTGAAATATCTATTACAATTACCACCACAAATTAGTAGCTGGCTTCCCACCGCGGCGGCCCGGGTTCGATCCCAGGTCTCATCAAGTGGGATATGTGGTGGACAAAGTGGCGCTGGGGCGGGTTTTCTCTGAGCACTTCAGTTTCCCCTGCCAATCTTCATTCCACCAAATTCTCCATCATCATAATCAGCTGGGGCAGGCTACAATAGGCCAATCAGTGGCAGCGGTGCTGAGTGGACCCAGTTGGACTCCACCACCCCACTATGCAAACTAAGCAAAATATCACCACAAAATCCTACTACTTCTGTAAGTTCATATTCCTTGATAACAGAAAGAAGGTGAGTAGTTGATATTTGTTATGTTCCCCTAGGACACACTTAAGTCAAGCATTTTAACTTTTACACTTGCTTGTGGTAAGGAACAGCATAATATCATGGGAAAAATATTTATGTTGTTTTGTTACAAGCATCAACTGTAGTACAGATAAAGTTGAATTTCTTTAATTATATATGCAGTTATGTACAATAGCAGTTTCACATTTTATTTTTCAGCGACTCACTTCAGCTAAAAAAAAATTGATATTACTTTGGAAATGCAATCCAGTGCTTTAAAAGTAAAACTGTGAATAGTTGCATGGTTGGCAAATTTGCCTTTTAGCAGAAAAAATAATGCCTTTATCATTCACATCATTTTTTAAGTAATTAGATAACTGATATAGCGCTGGCTGTTAGTTCTAGTGATTATTTCTGCTTTGTTGTTTGTAGATGGCCCTTAATATCAGAACATCCACAGTGGCATATGGAGAATTTTGATCGACAGTGCAAACATTGAACACGATTATTACTCACAGTAATACACTGAATATTGTTGTTTCATCACCACTAAATATAGGTAAATGTAGGTACAAGTTTCATAGTATTGTTGACTCACGTATGATATGTATGTTATATTAATATGTAATCACTGACTTGTTCTATATCCGGAGGTTGTATCTCCAAATATGGATTCTCGGAAAAATTAAATTGATTGATTGAGTGATTGATTGACTTCCATTTCAACATTTCTGGCAGTAAATACTTGAAGTTATCACTTAGGCCAAGGGTAAGGTTGCAAGATTTTTGTTCCTGAAGCAAAAAATTTGCGGTGGAGGGGATAGAACTACAAACCAGAACAAATTTATGAACTGGCTAGGACATCAGGACTCAAAATTTAAAACTATGAATGTGCTGGTAAAAAAGGGATATATGGGAAGTCTTGAAAAAATACTGGATTAACAAATTCTTTTACATTTAAATTTTCAATGTGTCAGTATTGTTGTGGAATAAAAGATCAAACTGAATAATTTGTTGGCAGAATGTAAGATTATTTCAGACCATTCATTCTAAACAGTTTTAAAGTTACTGAAAACACTTATCTTAAATATAACCTAACTGCAGTCTGTCAAGGTTCAGTCATATTTGTTTTAATGCCATATTGTTTTGAAAGAGAGAGTGACATTTGGAGGGAGAGACCACTTCCATTTTCAGGTTAAAAAATAGGACAAGCAGACTGCCTACTTCTGTTGGTTTCTTGCTTGACTTACTCTTTGATACAGAAGATGGAAGTGACAGGTTTCCTGAAACGTCTGGATCTCTCCAATCTGCATGCCTTGACAACCCACTGCTGTAGGAACCTCAGATCTGTCTGAATTTAATATGTCTACAGTTTCACTGTAATTGTTGCAGAGAACATTTTTCTTTTGGGCTATTTAATGATGCTTTCAGTAGCCAGTTTTATTGCTGCCTTAGGACCCTCCCAGCCTGGGGATTAATCCACTGGGGGTTAAGCAGCTGGAGCATGAAACTGACTAGTCTTCTACATCTAGGGCTGAGGTCAAGTATGGTGGAGCTATGCCTCCAACCTCCACATGTCTTCCTGGCATAGTGTTTAATTAATTAAGCACAAGGACATTTTTACCTTTTCAGTATCTAGATTGTATACTGTCAATTGGAAGGAATGGATGCTTGCTAAAATCACTTACTCTAGGGATGCTTACCATTACTGTGGGTAATATGACAGTTGAACTTGAAACATTTTTCACATGAAACCAATATAAGTGTAATTAAATGTTGGCTAACCGTATTCTTGGAACACAAATAACATGTCATTACCCCGAATCTGATTTGTCAGAGCGCTCGTACTGCATGTTTAGTCTAGTGCTATTCAGTATTCAGTATTAGAGGGGGTGGGTTTCCCCACACACTGCGACTAGTAGTCTATTGTACGTCCCTCTTTAATATCTACTGTTGCCATACCCTACCGGTACTGGTGCTCGCTATCTCCCCTTTCTGCCTGCGAGGTCGGCCCTCTTCTGGCAGTGGTACCTGATAACTTCCCCATCTACCGGAGGCATTGGAAACTACTTGGACGGGAAACATTTTGCCTAATTTTGCTCAGAGGTCTCCTAGAGACATGAGGATCTTTTACGTGCCGTAAATCTAAGACACAGGACCCACGGCTTAAAGTCCCTCACGGAGGACTTGTTCCCTGAATTTTTCCGCCCTTAAAAATTCCACAACCTCCGCCAGGTTTGAACGCACGTACCTTGAGTCATGAGGTGGGAACGTTACCCCTAGACTATGGAGGCCGCTTTAGTCAAGTGCTATAGTCACTCAAGTATGTTATGGCACTGCTGGCTGACCAGACTGACTGAGGAAAACTGCAGTTCTTTTCAATTTCTGATATTAAATAAAAAAAAAACATTAACAACTGAATCACTATTGTGACACTTTTCATTTTATGGTATGAAATTTAATTTTTCCCATGATGATAAATAAATATTACTGCTTGTGTCTTTCAAAACTAAATCATAGGACAAGAGTCTTACCATCCAAAACTTCTTGGATGCCATCAGTTTCATCAAGGATATGCTCCATTAGTGACTTCATAAATGGGGTTCTTGGTTATATTGTCAGCATAAGCATCCAATAAACTAGCACTCAGGTGCTGTTGTCTGTGAGGCGTTCGGCTGCCCTTCTTCCTACTTCCAGATATGGATGAATTATGCACATCTGTGAATGTTGTGAAGACTGTTGTCACTGAGTCAGACATGTGCATCTTTTTGTGTTTGAAATGTGAGCTTTGTTTGGAAATGGTACTCATCTTAGGAATGAAGAGCGCTAACACCAACACTGTAGCGAGGACAACAAGAGCCATGCACACAGTGGGATCACTGTACTTCTCTGGAACAAATGAATAGACAAGACCCCAAACTATGAGCACAGGCATTGTAAGGAAAGCAGCCAGTGTCACCCAGTGCCCTTCCTTGTAGTTTCTCCTGATCTTGAGGACAGACAATCCATATAAGAAAGCAATTATTACAAGAATTGTAACATAGAGGTGCAGTAGCAGGAAATCTGTTCGGGGCATGTAGCAATATGGAAAGTCTTCAGAATCTACTCTGAATTGGGGTCTGTTCGTTAGAAACCACTGAACACTGATCACAACCTGAACCAAGACAATGAAGAATAAGATGATATACTGGTTAATATAGGATATTCTCCCACCCAAACCCAGAAGAACCAGTGATCGCAACTGCATCACTTTAATGATAAGAATACCATAACAGAGGCTCATGGCTACTGGATACAGAAAAGCACGTAAAGTGCATCTGATTTCACTGGAAGGAAGTACAAACAGCACAACGCTAACATACAGAGTCAGAATACCGAGGAGGAGGATGACACCAAGAGACTGATTGCCTGCCAGAGTGCCATCACATATCTTGATGAGCACATACACCAACATAAACATGGTTATACAAGTCCCAACAGCTGCTACAGCCACCATTACTGTGGCCCATGGTCGAGTGATGGAACTCTCTGGTGTAACTCTTCTTGCATTTACACCTGAACCATCTTCTCCTACAAACTTATCATGTGTACCACCCACTGGCACTTTTATACCCTTGACTGAAATATCTTTCAATCCAGCGAGCATTCCACTTTTGTCAAGGACTTCTACCGTGCTTGTCTTCGGAAATGAGTCCACTTCAAAACCTCGGGTCTGTTTCTCTTTACTGGAAACCTTCCTCCATCCATCGAGAAAATGCAGCATCATTGGTGATGAACTATGATCCAGAACAAGACCTTGATCATCTGAGTACCACCCAATCTGTAATCATAAAATATATGTCTACAGAAGCGAAAATGGAGGAGGGGGAGGGGCATCTTGGCATATATCATCACATTCTCAAGTTTTACCTTTGCTGGAGGTGACAGTTTCAATTTATGGACACAAAATCTGCACACACATCTGACTACGTATCACAGTCAGACTTCTCTTATTATAATCCAAGTCAGAATGTTGCAAACAGATAATATGAATAAAATTACACTAACTGAAAAAAGCAGAATGTATTTATGTAATTTCTGTTAGACTTTGACACTACTTAACCTCAGCTGGCAATGAAGAAATAATAAAGTAACAAATGCCATGATTAATACTAGCATAAATAAACAAGACTGTGTAACCCACATAAATATTCTACTAGAAATATTGTTCCACTCTCCTTAAGTGCATGAACGTTTACACCATAATTTGTTTCAGGCTTTTACAGATTCATAAAATAGTATTATTTGAAGATACACATCTCTTACTGAAGAATTTATAAAAATGTAGTTTTTCTCAAAAATTCCCACATAATAAGACAAATGGTGCACACGTAGTTAACTCACCCCACTCACATCTCCATTATCTCGAATATGAAAGACAACGTATTTGTTTGAAATGAGCTGTCCGTCATGTGTGACGTGGATACTTGTTCCCTGAAGTTCAAATGGGGCCTTGTGTTGTGATGTGAAACTAAACCGTGAGAGCGTTGACAAGATCTCTTGCTGGAAGTTGATGCTTGAAAGATGCGAGCATTCAGAGAAGTTGCGTCCTTGGCATTGCTCCACCTGCACTAGGAATACAGCGGCAGAGAATGCGGAGACAGCTTTCGCAACAAATGTCACCTGAAAGTGAAATTCCTTCATAAAAACTGCACAGAAGTGGTAAGAAGAAACAGACGTAACTCCTCAGGTTTGTCTTTAACACAAGAATGAAATAAGGTTACAATAAGAGCAGCAGTAGCAGTAGCAGTGGTGGTGGTGGGAGTGGGGGGTGGCAATAACAACAACAATAGAAGTGAATGGGATCTGACCTTTGTCAGCTCCAAAATTCTTGTTGAATTTAATGTTCAGTGGCTGTTGCAAGTATTTTAAAAAACAGAGATATCAGGGAGAGGAAGCAGTTCACTCAAATCTGATACAATTAGTCTTTCTCTACTAAAGTAGCAAATATTATAATTTTATTCTCAAAAATTTGTGCACATCACTGATGGGATTTGCATTCTTTAATGCGAATGTTAAATGGGACATTTCCCCATCAGAGTCAAAAATCAATTTAACAAGCAACAGACAATATATTTATAGATATTCATAAAATTACATATTTTACAGTTTCTCATATATATTGTTGCATGTTTCCTAGGCAACATGACGAGAAATTTATGCAGGTTCTCAGATTTGAATGAACATTTATTGGACAGTTTTACATTTGCAAATACAACTGTTCACACTTACAATGTCATCAGACATTTCCTCTTTACTATTACTATTACTTGCACCGCTGATCTTGGTGAAGTGTCTTCTGCTCTCCTCAGAGCTCAAGTGTCCTTGGTCCCTGGTTGGATAAGAACTCTTCTGTTCTAGTCAGATACAAACTCTGCTGGTCTCTGGCTGACATTGGACTGTTATAACTTAAACTCTGAGTGAATAGGAAATACCTTGCCGAAGGGCCAATTTTGCCATCTGTTATGCAAACACTAGCTGTTGTCATGAGAACGTTGGTCTTTGCCTAGGAAATCAACATTTGTTACCTATTTCTATATCATAATTTTGCCCTGCATTTTGGTGATGAGATAGTAATATATACTTAGTTTTCTGTGATCTGGCCCATGATAGCAGCCAGTAGGGGGCTCTTGTGAACATGGTAATGAACTTTCGGGTTCCATAAAATGCTGGGAAGTTCTTGAGTAGGTGGAGAATTGGCGGCTCCTCTAGAAGGGCTCAGCTCCATGAGTGAGTGAGTAAGTATGTAAGTTCTGTGTTTGGAACTAACGCATGCAAATGTGCCATATTAGGTGGGCCCTTTAACACTAAGGCATGGCGCATCCTCGGATTGTGGATAGAGTAAACACCCTCCAAGTATGTATAGGGCAGGTTCACTCAGGGCAGTGGTGGAAGAAATCTCAGAATATAAGTTAGATTTAGTGGGAGTACAGGAGATCAGACGAGATGAAGGCGGCACCAAACTAGTAGGCGAATATACATTTTTCTATGGAAAGGGGAATTTGAATAATGAATTAGGTATAGTATTTTTCATATATAAGAGAATCGTATCAGCAGTTAAGAGGGTAGAGTCCATATATAGATGAAATTATTGCGGATCATCAGTGTGGGTTTCAATGTAACAGATTCATTCATTCATTTTTTCACATTCCATAAAATCCTTACAAGGCTGAGATAACAAATAGATACAGAAATCGTCCAGAAATATACACTCGTCTTGCTTAGAAATCAAGCAGTTGTCAAAGTAACAAGTTTATAGTATACAAGACATAGATACATCTAAAAATTTATCTTGAAAATAATAAGTAAGACACTGACAATTTTAAGATAAAAAATTCAGTACAAATATTATTTACTAATCATGCTTATACAATATGACAGTTATTTAAAAACCAGTTTATAATATAAGACAAGCTTGAAAGTTGAATATAGTAGATCAACTACAGATCAGATCTCTTGCTTTTGTCAGATACTGAAGAAACAAATGGGCACACAATATGACAGTACATCAGATATTCGCAAACTCCAAGAAAGCCTATGATTCAGTTAGGAGGGAAGTATTGTACAGTATTCTGATAGAGTTTGGGGTACCCATGAAACTAGTTACGCTGATTAAAATGTTTTTAAATGAAATGTATAGTAAAGTCAGTGTAGGTAAACATTTGTCTGATAAGTTTTCTATCCAAAATTGTCTAAAACAGGAAGATGCTTCATTGGCACTGATTTTCAACTTTGCTTCAGAAAATGCCATTAGGAAGGTCCAGGAAAACCAGGCAGAACTGAAATTAAATGGGACACATCAGCTGTTGGTCTAAGCTGATGATGTGAATCTACTGGATGATAATGTAAATACCATAAAGAAACACACAAACTTTAATTGACAACAGTGAGGATGTTGGGCTACAAGTAAACACAGAGAAAACTAAGGATATGTTACTGTCTCGTCACCAAAATGCAGGGCAAAATCATGACATAAGAATAGGTATCAGAAGTTTTGAAAATGTGGCACAGTTCAGATATTTGGGAATGATGATAACAAATAAAAACCTGATTCAGGAGGAAACTAAGAGGAGACTGAACTCAGATAATGCTTGCTACCATTCAGTTCAGAACCTTTTGTCTTCTCATCTGCTGTCCAAAAACATAAAAATTAGAATATACAGAACTATAATTTTGCCTGTGGTTCTGTATGGGTGTGAACCTTGGTCCCTGACATTAATGGAAGAACATAGACTGAGGGTGTTTGAGAACAGGGTGTTCAGGAGAATATTTGGACCAAAGCGAGATGAAGTGACAGGAGGTTGGAGAAAACTGCATAATGAGGAACTTCATAACTTGTACGCTTCTCCAAGTATAATTAGAATGATTAAGTCAAGGAGGTGGGATGGGCAGGGAATGAAGCAAGAATGGGGGGAAAATAAATGCATATAGGATATTGGTAGAAGAGCCAGATGGAAAGTGACCATAAGGAAGACAATATTAAATAGGCTTTTAGAGAGATGGAATGGGATGGTATGGATTGCATTGATCTGGCTCAGTATAGGGACCAGTGGAGAGCTTTTGTGAACACAGTAATGAACCTTTGGGTTCCATAAAATGCTGGGAAGTCTTGAGTAGCTGCACAATTGGTGGCTTCTCAAGAAGGGCTCAGCTCCGTGAGTGAGTGAGTGAGTGAGTGAGTGAGTGGGTGGGTGGGTGAGTGAGTGAGTGAGTGAGTGAGAGTGAGTGTGTGAGTGAGTGAGTGAGTGAGTCTGAGTGAGTGAGTGAGTGAGTGAGTGAGTATGTGTATGTAACATGTTCTATATCTGATGGCTTTGGTGGCCAATAAGGATCTATGGAATTAAAATAAAATATAGATACAGAGAGAGAAGGAAGCTGAATGTTGCAAAAAGACTGATAAAAGGTAGAATTTGGGAATGGGTAAGAGGGTTAAAATGGTAACATGGTAACAGCAACGGGTTCATATATAAGATTTCCTTCGTTCAATTTCAGGCACTGAAAATATAAAATATTCCCTACTCCCCTCATAACTACAACATAGTTAAACACTGAAGGTATAACTGCCCTGTGCTGAACTGATTAAGCACTACACCATGAAGGCATATGGGGGAGTGGATGTATAGACCCATGGTTTCTTGCCCTTGGTACTAGTTGGTGAGTGGACAGCTTCACAACCCGGCTGCTTTTCACCTGGGGAAAGGGTCCACAGTACCCATTACATAGGAGGTTGGGCAGGCCCCAGAACTGGTCCGGATAATATGTTGAAGAGAAAATTCATGCTTCTACAGGGATTTGAACTCTGACCCCTCAGTTGTCCAGCCCGCAGCCAGTTGCTATACCGACTGTGCTATCCCGGCCCCCAGCTAAAATACTAGAAATACTAATTCCGAAATTCTTAAATTCAACAGAAAAATGGATATGCTTTCAGTGTTGTATATGAATACAGAGTCATATAAAAAAAAAACACCCCATATGAATTGGGGTCATGGGTCAAATGGTGATGGCAAGTCAGTCATGGTTTACCTCTGGAGCAACTTGCAGCTTTCCAGACAGCTCTGACATTTGTACTGCTTCACAGTCTCTGGCTGAATTCAGAAGGTCATTGTTCCACTTCCATTTGCAGCCATACGCCAATTCAATATACTCCTGCATCAGCGTGTCATTGTTGGATGAGGCAGTCTGCAAGTATACAAAGCAAAGTTTCCAGTAACTCAGCAACAATATTTGTACAACATATCCATTATAAAGTAACTTACGATAGGCCTGAAAGTATTTCCTCCACAATTAAATTATGAAATCTTATTTACTACATTTGTAACCATTTACAGTCATAACTTCTTATCTAAAGTTGTCCATTACATGTTTCAGTGATGTAAATATTATAATTGAGTGAATCTAATATGTATTACATTAATGACACATTAAGGTGTCACATAAGGTTGGCAACCTCACTGCCATCTGTGAGCCGACTGTCTAGAGAACTTGAAAGACTCAACATCTCACGACCCTATGGGTCCCTGCAGCCTGTTACAGGGAAACTTTAACTTTAGTTCACATTTTCATACTTAACAAAAATAGCTTATTCGTTACTATCTGCAATATAGCGTAAAGTTGACACTATTCATCTGATCTATGTTCTTCAAGTAATTTATATTCCTAATGCACACAATGAATACCAGTAGGGATCATTCCAGACTGAACAATATTTGGTAGAGAATTTGTTCCTCTCTACACAGCTGACTAACTTATTCTACTTATCATAATTCAAATCTAATCTATGAAACACCCACTGTTTTACTATGACTGTCATCATAAGGTAAGGTAAAGTTGTCCCTGTGCTTAGCTAACTAAGCACTATGACACGAAGGTGTATGGGGTAGTTGATGTATAGATCCACATTTTCTTGACCTTGGTACTAGTTGGAGGTGAGTGGTCAGCTTCACATGCCAGCTGCTTTACCCCCAGGAAAGAGCCCCTTGTACCCATTGTATAGGAGATTCGTTGGATCTCAGAGCCAGTCTGGGTGACATGGAGAAGTGAAAGTTCTTGACCCTACTAGGACTTGATTTCCAATGTCTCAGTCCTCCAGCCCACAGTCAGTCGCTATACCTACTGAGCTATCCCGGCTCCTTATCATCATAATAAGATTGGGTCAATTGCTTACAGTATCAAGGGCATGGAATCTGTTTCATAGGTCATGACACTGTCTTATGGCAGTTTCTGTTACCCTTAGTGATAGGGTACAGTTTAATAGCTTCATGGCTTAACATGGATCCTTGGCAAGTGTCATCTGGCATGCTTCAAATACCCAAAATTTTAACTTTTGGAGAGTGAAGATTTCAATCTGTGAGCAGAAAAATTTGCATAAAGATCTGACAGCAGATCAAAATGAGAACCCTCTGGCTGACAGTCTAGTGTCTTATTTCGATAGAGCTAAGTCCCCTTGTTTGAAATATAAATTAACTAATCCCTGTGACAATACTAAACTTACTACTAAGGATCTAAATATTCTGTTTTAATACAACAAACAACCCACAGGAATATTACAATCTCATGACCCGGTAATTAATTCACATTAAAAAAAGTATACACAAATTGTTTGTGAAACGGGTATGAGAAATGAATCAGCAGTGCTTCTGGACTTAAGCATGTACACTTACCTTCAATTTATTGAGAAAATAATTTCTGAAGTCTGGTAATTCAGGCATGTGAGGCTCTATGAGGTAACCTCCAGTAAAAATATTCTTCCATAACTTCAGTAAGTTCTTATCAAGACCAATTGTTCCAGTTAATAACACATTATTGTGAAATGTATAGCTTCTCAAGTGTTGTGCTAGTGCATATATTTCTTCTGGTTCAAGAATCAAAGCTACTGTTTCATTTGATTCCTGAAAATAAATGTAAAAGTTTTCATTATATTGAGTGTACTCATGTCAAACTATTGCCAAATTAAATAACTTATTATAAATATAGTTCTGAGTTGTAGTTACTGAAATGTTTAGACAAATCTTCTAACCACGTTTAAATGTTTAAATTTTAGAAGAACTGTAAAGGAATCAGGACTTTTGGCGTTTATTAGCAGGAAATTTCCTGCAACATATAAACACTGATAACTATCTCTACAAATGAAAATCAACATTAATATTTTTGCACTGTACACATATGAGCATCCCTGCATATCACTGCCATATGTCACTATTGTTACGAAGTTATTTGTAAGCAGCAGTAGCACACAAAAATTTGCTGATATATTTTGACACTGATCAGGTAGGTCTAAATGTTCAGTGTGAAACATGTAAAAACTGATCTACGAGTTCATATTTCATCACAAGATCTTATACGTAGCATATAAGAAATGTTAAATATGGCAATAGCTTCCTGATTTTTATAATCATTCCATGAGGCATTTAGTGCTTAATGCATGCTTTGAGCATCCACTCACTAGCTGAAATGTTTGTGGAATTGGTAAACTATGTCAAAGTACTTCTCTACATGCCCAATGAAGTGAACTATAATCAATTTTTGAAACATGCTTGGAATATTGTCATGAAGGCTAATTGCAGGGGAAAATGCATAGCCTGGCTTGCATGTGCCTCTTGCAATGTCTGGATTGTTCAGAAGCTGCTCAGATAATTCCAAAGGCCACAGTCACCTGAGAACTTACTAGATGCTTCCTGAAGGGTGACATGCCTATAGTGTAGCTGCAAAGTTCTTGCAAGAGGCCAAATCATTTCTGTTCAGTGCAGGACAGATAAGTTTGTAGTGAGACAGTAAGTCAGCCAGTTGCAAGCCTCTTAGTCAATTAGTGTTCAGCTGGTCAGTACAAGTGGTCAGTTAAGACAGTGAGTGGGTGGGTGGGTCGGTGCGTGAGTGAGTGGGTGGGGGGGTCGGTGCGTGAGTGAGTGAGTGAGTGAGTGAGTGTGAGTGAGTGAGTGAGTGAGTGAGTGAGTGAGTGAGTCTTCTCTCAGTACAGCATAGTGCACAGAAGAAGAATAGGTGACCGAGTGAGCAGTGCCATTAATATGGAGAAATAAGTGAAGAGTGAAGTGATCTCAGTAGCATAAACAGCTAGAGACATGGGACCGTGACTGCAGCACAAATTGAGAATTGTTACAACATAATGGCAACTGCAAGGGAATATTCACATGAGAAATCAAGCATGCTATTTACTCCATTATGAAGTGGTGAATTGTTTGTAAAACACTAAAACAGTAGCCTAATATAATCAAAACCGAATTAACATATACAAATTTTCCAACAAATCAGGTGTGTTCAAATTAAAACCTGCACAAAAGATATGATATTGCCATATGCTGAGGAGTAGCCCAATTTCATACACCTCAATTACAACTTCATTGTGACTGACAATTTATATTATATTCATAAGCTTCACAACAGACTGCCACAAACTTTACAATTTCTTAATTGTAATAAATTATCATGTAATAATATCTGAAATAATGTTCATGTAACAGTTTTAACTGAAACAGACAGACTGACAAAAAGCAGGATGCAGAAGAAAGTGACAAAATAATTTGACAAGACACTCAAGAAGAGTACTTTGATCAAGGGTTATATCTAAGTTTTCTTTTGCCTTCCCCCTCCCCAAATGACTAGTAGGTTATAGTGATACAAACAAGGATATATTATATCATAAATATATCCTACAAATTACCAGAATCGAAGGTTAATTAGACTCTTTGAATAACAGAGTATATACATACTGATTCCTCAAGAAACTTTTTCACAACATCTCCAATGACTTTGGAATGTTCAGTAATCTGCAGTATACGGCCAACTAGAATTCCCATCTCCATAGCAGTCTGTCTGAACTTCTTAATACTGTGTGAACATGATGAAATGAGGCTGACTGACTCAATTCCCAACTTCTTGCCCACGGCCAATACAGGCTGTAAAAAACAATAAGATTTTTACAATGTAAGCCTTACTTCAGTATTACTGTTAAAGAATATAGTATTGAATTGAATTGAATTGAATTTATTTACATTCTATAAATCCTAAGCAGGTTAGTACCTTTGGATACAGAACAAGTCAAAAGGTTACATACATAAGTACAGGCAATTTTAGCTTAAAAATTAATATAACTTAATTTTACATCATTCTCTATTTACATTGAAGTATTCATCTAAAGAGTAGAAGGAATGAGCATGTAGATAATTCTTTAACTCTGATTTAAACTTTTTAGTATCATTGCCCAAGTTTTTAATACTTTGTGGCAGATTGTTGAACACTTTTATGCCAGTAAAGTAGACTCCTTTTTGATATACTGATAAAGTTGATGAGGGTAGGTGGAAGTTATATTTTTGTCTAGTATTCATGTTATAGACATCAGAATTTAATTTGAATTTATCTTTGTTGTAAACAACAAATAAGAGAAGCGATAATATGTATTGCGATTGAAGAGGTAGAATTTTTAATTTCTTAAATAATTCTCTACATGAATCTCTACTTCTACATCCTGTAATGATTCTAATTATATTCTTTTGTATTTTAAAAATTATTACACTATGTGAAGAGTTCCCCCAAAATATTAATCCATAGTTCATAATAGAATGAAAGTAGGCATGGTAAACCATCTTCAATGTTTCCTGTGACATAAAAGGCTTAATTGATCTCATCGCATAGCAAGCTGCATTTAATTTAGGTATAATTTGTTCAATATGTATTTTCCAAGACAGTGTACTGTCTACATGTATTCCAAGGAATTTTGTATCAAGTACTTTACAGATTAATTTGTTGGCATAACTGATGTCCAGATCAATTTGGTGGTTGTTTTTAGTTGTGAATGATATGTAATGGGTTTTATCAAAATTTAATGAGAGTAAATTGGCTTCGAACCATCTGTTTAAGGCTTCAAATACAATATTTATGTCATTTTTAAAGTTTTCAAATTTAGAGTTCTTAAATATTATACTAGTGTCATCTGCATATAGAATTGGTTTAGATTTATTGTTGATGGTTTTAGATAGATCATTTATGTAGAGAAGAAAAAGTAAGGGACCTAAAATTGATCCTTGTGGAACACCGTGCTTTATAATTCCCCAGTTTGAAAATGCATTATGACTGGAGTTTTTATTATTTATTTCAACTCTTTGATACCTGTTTTTGAGGTATGATTTGATCCATTCATTAGCTTTGCCAGTTATTCCATAGAAATTTAATTTCGATAGTAAGATATCATGATTAACACAATCGAAAGCTTTTGCTAGATCACAGAAAATCCCTCCCACAATTAATCTGTCATTGAGAGCACTTAAAATATCGTTAGTTAGTTCATAGGTTGCTTTTTCTGTTGTTAGGTCTTTCCTAAATCCAAATTGCTCTTTGACTAATATGTTGTTAGAATTTAAGTGTTCAAGTAGTCTATTATACATAACTTTTTCAAAGACTTTTGAGAATGAAGTCAATATGGATATTGGTCTGTAATTAGAGATGCATTTTCTCTCTCCTTTTTTAAAAAGTGGTTTCATTACAGCGTATTTTAAGCGTTGAGGAAAAGTACCTGATGATAAAGATTTATTACATAGATGATTCAAGGGTGAACTGATGTAAACAGAGCTTGCTTTAAGTAATTTGGTAGAGATTTCATCATATCCATGTGAATTTTTGGGCTTAAGGGATTTAATAATGTTTTCAATTTCCTTCCTTGTTGAGAATTTGAGATTGATATTTGGAAATGAATTGTTAAAGGCACGAGACAGATAGTATATTGGATTATTATTATTATTATTATTATTATTATTATTATTATTGGAATATGTTTTCTCAGCTAATGAAAGGAAATATTCATTAAATGCACTTGCGATAGCTTGTGGATTGTTAGTGGACTTCCCTTCAATATTCAAACTTTGTACGTCTTCATTAACAGATTTCTTTCCTGATTCAACTTTCACAATATCCCAGGTGGTTTTAATTTTATTGTTTGATTTTAGAATTTGGCTGTTATAGTTATTCTGTTTGGCTTCTTTAATGACTTTTGACAAAATTTTACAGTACATTTTGTAGTGACTTTTTAGTCTTGGATCATTACTGTCCCTACTGGCCAAATATAGTTGTCTTTTGTGTTTACATGAAGTTTTTATTCCAATTGTTATCCAGGTGGATTTGTTTTTATTTTCATTTTTGACTATTTTTAAGGGAAAGCTTGAATAAAAGATCCTCAAGTATGTGTTCAGAAAGCAATTAAATTTAGAATCAATATTATTGCTGTCAAATACATTGTCCCATGATTCATTACTTAATTTTGTGACAAAATCTGCCATCGTATGCTTGTTGATTTTCCTTACTGTTTGATATTGTTGATTACTGGGCTGAAGGTCAATATTATTTATTTCTATGAGTTGAGCATCATGATCGGATAAGCCATTTATAAAGGGTCCTACAGTATAGTCTCTTAATTTTGAGTTATCAATGAATATATTATCTATCGCTGAACTAGAATTATTTTGAACTCTTGTGGGAAAGTTAACAGTACTGGAGAGATTGTAAGATGATAACAAAGAGTCTAAATTTAGTTTCCTATTACTGTCGATGAGATAGTTTATATTTATATCACCACAAATTATAAATTCAACTTTTGAACTATGCAGTACATTTAGGATGGTTTCTAATCTATTTATAAAGTGATCGAAGTTTCCAGATGGGGCTCTATATAAAGTCAGTATACAAATATTAGAAAAAGGAGAGTCTAACTTTAGAGCACATGCTTCCAGATCCTGGTCTTTGCAATAATCTTCTAAATTTATTTTAGTAAATTTTAGGTTTTCATGTACAAAAATACTCACTCCTCCTTTCTCCAGTGTTTTCCTACAGTATCTAGCACCTAAATTATAATTTTCTAAGTGAAGATGTTCTAATTCCAGCTGTTTCATGTGATGTTCAGTAAGGCACAGTATGTGTGGAAGATTTGAATTCATGGAGCTTATTAGTTCATTTGTTTTGTTTCTCAATCCTCTTATATTCTGATGGAATATTCTTAGTACTTTATTATTCACTGAATTTAGTAGACTGCAATTACCTTTTCCGATTTCTATTGGTTCACTTACATTATTGTCTGAAAGATTAGTTTCTTTTGCAATTTCTTTTACTTGATAAACTTTACTTGCACTCTTTATCCTAAAAAATGATTCTGAACACCCATGACAACTGGAATGTGTCTGCCCTTAATGCTCTCTGCAATGAGTCGCATCAGCTTGTCCTTGCCTCGAGGATTAAGATGCAAACCATGGACAGTATGTTCTCTCCTCAATATTGAAGAGACATCAATCGCATCAATGTGGGCCACGCCGACCTCCACAAGCGAACGCTCAAGCCGAAGATTAATCTCCCTTACACACCTGTTAATCCATGGCTTGTCATGACGCCAGAGAAGACCAACAAACCTCACATTGGTGTGACTAGTTTTCTGGGCAATGTCACTTAAATCTTTCTCAATTTGATAATTGAGGTTTCTCTCCAAACTGTTACCTGGCCCCCCAACTATGCATTTAATATCCAAATGCTGTTTAAATTGGAAGATTGACTTGTGGACATCATATATCTTATCAAAAAGGAAGGTAAGAAGAACAAAATTACAAGATTTCACATAAAATTATAACTGAAATTTTTGTATGATGATTAACAAAAACAGGCCTTATGCCAATATGCATAACAATGTTACGCTCAGTTGACTAAATGAAAATAAATAATTTCACCTAAAACATAATGATGATACAAAATATATGATATAAATTAATTCTAATGATGTAATTTAAAAGTGCTGCAGAATTATATTCATCTATATAATTGAAGATATCCTTTCACGATGAATGTATGTACTGTATACTGTTACATAAGAATCATTCCTCTACTTTCTAAGTAAATGTGTATCTTTCGAAGACATTATGAACATATGAAAGGTACAAATCCTCGAAATTAAAAAGATAATTTTTTGTATGATAAATTGTAATTAAAGATTTTCTTCTTTCCAAAATTAAATTAGATTTATATATGATGAAACCTGAAATGTTCTCCAGAGAGATAACAGCAATAATAATGAAGGAAAATAAGGCACTTTACAGTGACAGTGTGTTCAGAACTCTGTGACAATAAAGGCTATTCTATATTCTGTTAAAATTTATATTTTCATTCCCATATTTAATTAAAAATTGCTAGCTCTTTGAGCTCCTTGATTCTAGAATGAGAAAGGGGTTTGGCATTTCTTCATTGTGTGTGCATCTGTATGATAGTGGGCATGGTCTTGGGCTTGTCAGTCTTGCCTGCTTCCTCTCAACTTTCTTCTTTAATCCTTTTATAAATTTGAGGTACTGGTTCAGCTGAACTGGTGCAAGCCAGCTGCAACATACCTTACTTTAAGAGAAAACCAAATGAGTTTATCTGTGAATTTATGGGTTATATAACAAAGTGCCTCTCTTATACAGTATCGATACAAATTTTGTGGACAAGCATAAAAAAATAAAGATAACATAAAATTACCTTGGATTTTAACACTGTTTCATATTTCTGTATTTCAGCATACTGTTGCAATTGTTTAACTTAATGTCCATGTATTTATTATCAATATTGCAACACTTGTTTATTTTTGACAGATTACTTTGAATATGATATCACATAATTTTACACCTCCACACCTGCACCACAACAGAGTTCTCCTATGTATCCGGTGAATGAGACAGATCTAACTAATAATGCAGGTAGTGGTGATATCGGGTAGCATTGTTATCCTTACCTTGACCACACCACTCATATCTGGAGCTGTTGTTAGTATATTTCCCTCCTGAATTACTGAATCTGCTAGTCTTGGTGATGCTAATATTAATGGAATGTTGAACGCGTGAAGAGTTGTTACAGTTTCACCCACTATGTCTGGATCTCCCATTCCAATTAAGCCTAAAAATATGAAATATATATTCACTTCTTTGATAATATAATCTTCTTTACAAACCTTGCAGAATGAATTAAGAATATTGAGCTAATGAAGCTCAGTGACCATAAACATGCTTTATTCTCACGCATCATTTGCCTGCCAGATAGTCGCATCTGTCAATTCTACCACAAGTTTCATTAAATGTAGTATCAAGACCCACTACTAAAATTTGGATATTTAATTTTGGATCATTCATAATTATAGTGAGATATACAAACATTCTATATATTTCCAGTCATGACATTTCTTTTTTATAAAATATTTCTGAGACTTAAATGATGAATTGTGATGAAGTAATTCTGTATTAATTTAAACAATGAAAAGGAAATTGGATTCTTAGTTATAGTCAAAAACCAAATTTAAGGTAGAAGCTGTATCATACAGTTTCTCTGTCCCAACACCTGCTACTAAATTTACTGAGAAGTAATTTTCATGCAAGTTGCTGCTGTTTGTTCTGAAACTGTGCCACTTAGATCTAAAGCCTTAAGAATAACTGAAAATCTCTTTCAGGTTGATTTAATTACCTAATAAAGGCAGTTTTCCTCGGGGATCAAGGGCATTCTTCACAGCAAAAAAAACATCTCTGATTGCAACATCTTTCCTGCCACATGTATCAAACACCTCAATACCTGAAATGAGAATCTTGTGTGTATGTCATGGAAGAGTTTACAAATGCATGTTAGTATTGGTTTCATGTTACCCACAGGCCTCCACAATTGGTCTTGCAGCTATAATGGAGACTTTTCTTGAAGCAGACTTCAGTTTGATTTGTAAATGATGCATTGAGTAAGCAAAGAAATTTTGCCACTTCTTATGTTTTAACTGATTTCTTCTGGTTAAATTTGCAACTGTGTATTCATTATCACTACTGTTACTAAATAGATCTGGTATTTAGTTAACAAATTTGAAGATACCTGTCCGCATTTTACATACAGTAATTTCCATATCTAAACAAATTTAAGTGGAGGAAAAAATTATGGATGGTTACTTATGTTTCCAGCCCCTTCTCCCTTATACTTAAAATGTATAATTGTTTTGGAAGTGGTAAAATGAAAATGTTAACATTATTATGGTCTCTGACTTACATATTATTTTAAATTATGTTATCATGTCAGATGACCAGTCTCAATTTTAACATTACATTCTTTTTGAAAAGCTTGTCATCGTGGCCAGTTAAATAATTCATACATTTCTTAGCTGTCAAAGTACAATTTAAAGTAAAAACTTTCAAAAAGTGGGAGAGAGATATATGAGGTACAGCATGGTTGTTTAGCATGCTTAGGCAAGTTTTAAGGTAACAGAACTTGTTTCTGACACAAGTAAAGATGGTAAGAGAGTTGGTCCTGAATGTCTGAAACAAATTTATATGTCAAACTGAGGATTTCATGTAAACTAAATAGTATTGAACTACATGAGATCTGAGTTCTTCTGATTAGGAAAGATGCAGACAAAATAGAGATGGGTTCCAGCCAATTCCAGACATGCATAAACATCATGCACTTAGATTCTGCTCTTCTGGGTTATGCAGTTTTGTCAGCGGTCATCAACGTTTCACAGTGACTTACTGCCTTCCTCTCATATCCTGAAGGTGGGGGCTGGAGTTTGGTAACCACCCACCAGGCTACGTGGTGTCATAATTCAGAAGACCTCAGTCAAAGAATTTAACTTTTCAGTCAAATGTAGATTTGGAGAGAATTAGTCTTTATGTTAGCATAAAAAGTCTAGAGTTAAGTAAAGTCTCCAAGGATTTAAATTAACTTTGCTTCAAAGCTATCTTTCATAAATACATATAATATTTATTAGGGTATGCACTGAATCCAATTTATGAGTTATGCATACTGTATCACCTGAGAGCACTGTGCTCATGAAAACTCAATTTGACATAAGCATGGAGAATTATATGACTTTGAATTGGACAGACATGGAATTGCTCCTCTCAGGTTTCTTGAGAACGTCTTCTTCTGATTACACCCATTACTCATTTTAACAGGTAATTCTGCTGTGATGTATGTAATTGACTTACCAAATTTAATACCCTGAGAAACTGACTGGTTATTGATCACCTCTGCAGCCCATTTGGCAGCCAGAACATACTGCACAGCCGGCAGATTTAAAGCACCACAGTGAGGTTGGAGCAATGTCAAGTCTCCAAAGCTTCCAGAACCAGGGATGTGTAGGTCAATCAGCACCCCTAGAAGAATTAAGGGAAACATTAATGTTATTTTGCATTACCACAATCATTAAAATAAAATACAAGAACACAATAAATTGCTTATACTTAAGTTTATATATCTCTAAATGTTGACTATATAGTAATAAATGGGATTAGGCTTAATAAGGCTTTGAAACTTGGACATTAATTACTAACACTTACCAATACAATATTGGGCACATAAAGATTAGAATAAATTGTTCACTGACTTACCCACTGATGCCTTGTCATATGTTTTTGAGGTGACTGGAGATGAAATTTTGGCCACAAGCAGAATGAATGTCAATGCAAGATGTTTTTCCATTCTGTCCATTCCACCTTCAAGAAAAAGAATGTCATTTGTTACTTCTGGGTAGCTTCTCATCCAAGCTTCTTTATTAATTATATTGCATGTAATTATGACATTTTTACACATAAAATAACCCCAAGGAAACCTGTAAAGTGTTGTCATTGGTAGTTGCCAACTGTTGTTGAACAACAGCAGCAGCAGAAACGATAACAATGATGATGACAACAGCAAACAACAACAATGATGATGATGATGATGATGATGACAATGGTGGTGGTAGCAGTAATGATGATAATGATAACGACAACAGCCACAACAACAATCATAATCATAACAGGTACTATGAAACTTTAAGAAGAATGTTTTCTATTTGTTTCAACCGCTCACCTCCAGCCAATGCCGAGGTCAAGATAATGTGGTTCTATATATCCACTCCCCCATACGCCTTCATGGCATTGTGTTTAATTAGTTAAGCACAGGGACAACTTGACCTTCACCTTTACACTCTTTAGCTACTTGTGTGGGGCACACGGTAGCATAGTTGGTTGAGGCACTATGCTACAAGCCGGAAAGTCGCGGGTTCAAGTCTCAATGAGGTCACTGGATTACTTTCAATTGACGTAATCCTTCTAGCTGCACACTATGGCCCTAGGTTCGACTTAGCCTCTAACATAAATGAGTACCTGGAATATTCTTTGGGGTAAAGAGTGGCCGGCGGGTAGGGCTAACAACCTTGCCGCCATCTATGAGCCGACTGTCTAGCAAATGTGGGAACCTCAACATCTCACAAACCTATGGGCTTCCACGGCTTGTTAACGGGATACCTTTACTTTACTTACTTTCTATCTACTAGTGTACATTTACATAAAACAAATTTTATAGCAACCGGTTGCAACTATATGCTGTATATACCACCATACTGGGGTTACAAATGAACAGATACCTCTTCCCTAGCCTATCAGTGAGCTGCACATGTCAGTCTTTGTGTTCTTTTGTTCATATACAGATACGAACAGTGTGCTATGACGCCTGAAAGCCAGAATAACGGAACCAGTAGAGGCAGCCATTGCTAGGCAAAGGCCAGATAAACACGCTCCTACATCAATAGATGGGCACTCAACAGCAGAAGAACTCCCTGGCCTGCACTGAGGCGACATAAAGAGGTCCAACACAAGTTAGATCACTGATCCCATGTGGAGGAGGGGTTGAATACTTCCACCGTGGCCCTGCGAGTCATAGGAGGCGAAGAAAAGTGAACCCAGTGTTTGGGGGGTATAACTGGGCCACCTTGTTCCTTGGGGATATAAATATGGGGACCTGGGCCTCCAGGTTGAGGGACCCTCAAATCTGAGACAGTTTCTCAGGACTCGGACCTAAGAATGACTGCACTGATGAGGACCAGCAGGAATTGTATGCGCTAGACCAATCCTCTCATCAGAGAGGATGTTACATAAAGATTTTTACCTAAAGTGTTCAGTTGAAAAAAGATTACTGTTCGTGAGTCTTGAGAGGCTTGTAGTCAAGATCAACTGATTGACAGTAAACCTCCAGTCATAAAGTAACTCTCTCTCTCTCTTATAGACCAGTGTGACAAGTAAGTCAGTACCTTCAATAAAACATTAATCAGCAGTAATGACTGATGCTTGCCCTGTCTGAAAATTGTTTCAGATACCCACATTCTGAAATTGCAACTCTTGCAAAACAAGATTCTTCACACCACTGGTAACTTTCCAGAGAGCACATCAGTCGGTGCGTTGCACACGGCTTTGCAAATATGGTACATTTATGACTACATAACAAAATTGTGCAGTCCACAAGCAGAGGTCTTCCAAAATCATGATGAGATTGCAAATGTTAGTGACACTGGAAAACGCGAAGCCCGATATAGAATATACACATAAGAGGTTTAAACTTGGCGGCAGTCAAGCATACGACCATTCAAGTAACCAGGCAGCCGTTGTAACATGAGCTACATGAGTTAGGTCCTGATCTGCTATGCTAAGTCGTGTACATATAGAACTGTAAATAATAGTATCCCAAGAGACTGTATGTACATATATACTAGAGTTAATACGAGTATATAGAACTGTCAATAATAAGCATCTCGAGAGACTGGACCCTTGGCAACTGACTATGTACGCATGAACTGCTGATCTTGACCATGGTAAATATGACTGCACTGGCTAGAACCAATTTCAATTGTAAACATCAGAGAGGGCACACACGTTAACAACCCTGCAATGGTATGACAGTAATAAAAATCTCTCCTTGAGCCCCAGATGGCTGCTTGACACCAAGACAGACTGGTCCACTGACCATTTGTAATAACATAGGGGTAGGCAGTTAGTAGCCGTTGTCACAGTTGGTGGCTGGATGGAAGCATGCAAGCAGAAGAATCGCCATTTTTAGACAGCGTTACCTAGCAACGACTAGCGAAGGGGTAACAAACTGAGAATTAGTGTGTGCTATTGTGATTCGTAGAGTGTGTAGATTAATGAGAGTGTTGTAGTTATTTGTAGTTACAAGTCATAAGCACATGATAAATTGAACAATCAATGTAAACCCAGTGTCTAGTCAATAACATGTCACACTTTTAAAGATATCAATAGACTGACTTTTGTGAATTCTACATGAACATCATGACACAGCAGACCTCACCACTTTAAATTCTTGTCATGAAGAAAGTCAATATGGAGGCTGCAAAAATTTGTGTGATAATAACATTACTTATACTCATCCTAATGTTTTTTAATTTTGTATGGTGAATGGCTTTGGAAAATTTACATAATATTAAATGAACTACCCTAGTAAAGAATAATAGAAAATACTAACAATGGAGAGTTAGCAAAAGTTTAGTAGCCTGAGCATAACAGCTGATGAATCACTACACCTTGACCTAAATTTATTCTATTTTAAATACATATTTGTGTTTAGGTACATATTCAGCAGCACAGCATCACATACCCAAAGACCTACAATGTAATTCTTCAAATTATTTGCTATTAGTTTTCTTGGAAACTGCAAAGTGAGACTGAACATTCAGCATTCATTTGCAGGTCATTAGCAACTCTTTACATTCCTTCAAAATTTTCCCCAATTATACTGATTAAACTATAACTGCTATGAGATGAGCATTATAATCCCGATTTAAATGTACGCAAAATGTGCAGAAGGGTTCAGTTGTAAAAGAAAAAGTCTGGCTGTGAGTCTGAAGGGGCTTGGCACCAAGATGAACCGATTGGCGATAAACCGCCAGTAGTAGTAATGAATGAGTTTTGAGACAGTCGCCTGCCAGTAAGGACATGAACACGTAATGTGAGGAAGCTATGGTGTTGAAAGCCGTTACCAGGCAACAGTCTGGGAATTCTTATTACGTGCTGTAGCGAGCTGCAGAATGTGTGAATTAACGTTAGGGCAATAGTCATTTTTAGCTACGTTATGTAATAGTGCAATACACCGTGTCCAGGATCCGTTAGGACTCTCTTTTTTATTTTGCCCTGCAATGTCATCTGTTGGCGAGTTGTGGCGTTAAGATTCTTGAAGTTTCAGCTGTGGCGGTAGCGTAGTTGTTTGAGGTACTATGCTACAAGCCGGAAGGTCGCGGGTTCAAGTCCCGATGAGGTCACTGGATTTTTTTAAATTGACCTAATCCTTCCAGCCGCACTATGGCACTGGGGTCGACTCAGTCTCTAACAGAAATGAGTACCAGGAATTAATTAAACAATTTTCTTTGGGAGTGAAGCGCGGCCGGCGCGTAAGGCTGACAACCTTACCGCCATCTTTGAGCCGATTGTCTAGATAGTGTGGGCTCCTCAACGTCTCACAACCCTATGGGCCTTCACGGCCTGTTACAGGGGTAGCTTTACTTTTACTTATCTCGCAGTCCGCAATCGTTTGTGGGCGAGAATTCTTCGAATTCGACCTGAATATCGAGAGCAAGGTTCCTGGTCGCTCCTCCACGACAATGCCCCGCCCCACAAATCGAAGATCGTGCGCGATTTTTTTTGGCCAGAAAAGGGATCACAGCCCTTGATAATCCTCCGTATTCAGCAGATTTCTGGTGGTTCCCAAAAGTTAATTTGGCGGTGAAAGGAGATCGTCACGACACCATCCAGGACATCCAAAGGGAATGTACCGCAGTTTTAAATGCGATTCCACAAAAGGAGTACAGTGACTGTTTTCGAAAACGTTTCAATTGATTCCAGCTATATATTGATTGAGAAGGAGACTATTTTGAATAGAAGAGTGAAATTTTGAAAATAATTCACGTCTTGCATTTTTAATGAACACAGTCCTAACAGAACCTGGACACACTGTGTATATAACTAATTACTAATCCAAACCCCGTCTACAGTCACGTGATAATATTAAAAATATAAAACATGAATTACCAAACTCCTGTCTGTCAATTCTCTAGTTGCAGGGGTTAAATAGGAAATCTGGCAGTTGCTTAATGCTGCTGTTAATATAAAAGCGATGAGATGATTATAACAGGTGAGCAAGAGTGGGCCATCGTGAACCATCTGAAAACAATGTTGAGTTGCTTATTTTCGGGGACAAGAAAAATTAAAATAAACAATACTGGAATAGTTGGTTCCCTGGCTGAGTTTAGAATTGGGTGCCACTGAAATGCACGTCAAAGAAGTTAAAATTTGGTAACTTTTCTACAGAAAAGTTTCAGAATGGAATTAGAAAGGAACTTCGTTGCAAAGTGTCAGTGCGCTGAAGAATTTAAATTGAAAACAAATGGCAGCAAACTTGGGAAATAGTGTGGTTACCTTTGGAACCTGTGTTCTCTCGCATGGGAAATAGTGTAGTTACCTTTGTAACCTGTGTTCGCTTGCATGGGAAATAATGTGGTTACCTTTGGAACCTGTGTTGTAGAGAGCAGGATCCTGTGCTGTGTGAAACTCAATCTCTCAGACGACAAGAAGACTGGCTGGTGGCACCTGGAAACAGGGCGCTGGGGAGAATATCAGAAGCTGAGAGAGAGGAAGTAAAAGGGGCTAACGAAAGTTACGTAGATCGT